TCTGTCCTGGGCTTCCCTTTCCAGTTTTATCGAATTTTTGTTTATTCTTCTCATATGTTTCTCTATTTCTCGACGTAATGTGTTTCTTGGCCTTCCCCTTTTCCTTTCGCCTTGAGCTATGTTTTGCAGTGTAGGAGTGGATTGGACGAAAGTTAGAGGCGGCCAAACCAGAACATGACAGAAATCCATGAAGTCACTGACTAGTGGACTGAGTCATGTTGGTAGATTTAGGCTACCTGGTTGGGGTTCGCGAGGCGAAAGTCACCAATGGTTAGAGACCTTGAACGACATGGCTCAAAATCGTTTGCAATGGCGCTAGTGCATCCATTCGTTGTGCTCTCTCAAATCCTAATCTTCTGGAATCGTCAGCACCTCTATCTTTGTCTTTCTAACCTTATCTCACTGAATTATACTTCTTGAATAATATCTTCAAACCCTAATCTTCTTCATTACCATTAATACCTCTACTATCTTTATCACTATGGAATTTGGTTTGACAATAACGTCTCTGTGCTAATGTGGTATGGCAACTTGAACTTATGTACATACGTACGAAGTTCTATGTTGCAACTGACTGACTTTGCCTTGAGGGTTCCAAGTGAGGGCTTGTCTTGTGAGTTAAATTGGTTTGGATTGATTTTTCTGGTCAGCGCTTTTTTTAGCAATTTATTTTTTTCATGGGATGGGTTCGCTAACACCATGCCCAACCCTCCTGCTTGATCCGGGCTTGAAACCGGTAGTAGCCCCAGAGGGGGTTCTAGAGGCGTAGTCATGTTGAGTTTAATGATTTAGAGAATTAGATACAACTGCAGAGTAATAATAAACATATTTTATCGTATTCTAGTTTTCTACAATATATTTTGCAACCGATGGGACTGATCGGCTTCCACATCGGTCATTCGATGTGAATATAATATAGAACTGAGCTTAAAATAATCTTGACAAGTTTCAGCCAGCTGTTAGGTAATTAGAAAATAGATTTTTTGCATCAGTGGTTTGTTGAAAAAAAACAGTTAAAAGTCTCTTACAGATGCCTTTACCTGTAAATAAAAGAACGAGCGACATCTAAATTCGTCTATATGGATATAGAACATATTAGTCTTCTTAATCTTTATAAGGCTTTTTAACAGTCTACACAATGTCTTTCGTTGTCATACACAACACAGTATTCGGAACATTCGTTCATCCTGTGAAGGCAGAAGATTACAGATATGTTTTTTGAGAAGACAATATGTTTTCTCAGTCTGTCGCATTTTTATTGTGCTGTCTCTAACTTTCTCCCAACCTACCACTAAACTAGTCATCACCAGTTGACAAAAGCAGTGATTGTGTTTATGTAAGCATGTCACAACGTCATCGGTCAATGGAGATTTCAAATTGTTAGAGTATCCTCATCTGTGACATTGCTTCTAATCCCAGCGTTGTTCAACTGATGTTTATGATGGAATAGTGAACTGTTTGTTGTCAGTGCACTTTTTGTTGGTTGATAGACTCACATTTGGTCTACTTCATCAATCAAATTTTAAAAATCTGTCTATTTATCAGTTTTTCTTGTTTGTTTCGAATTTCCTTGCCAATATGCTTTGAAAACTTAGATCAACGTCCCACAAAAGTTGACTTACTGACTGAAACTCTGTATGTTAGATAATAGAATTCTACTACGTTGAATGATAGTTTTAACATTAATTTTACATTTGTTCAGAATATATCATTTCATTTTTTCCAAACTTGTTCAAGACTTGATTATCTCAACGTTGGCGCCGAAATGCTCTGATAGGGCCGAGAGTGGAGAGTCCACTCTTCCTCTCCAATTGTTTCACATGACCACGCGTATATATCCACTAACACGGAAGTCCTACTCACTGCCTTTTCTTGGCGAGGGTGTTGTTTAGGCAACGGGAGGATGAAACACGTATGTTTGGTTAGGGCTTAAACAGAGTTGGTGCTCACGAAGGATCCACATAGAGAAGTTGAGAAATCCTCATTCCAAACAATAGTTCACATGGACTGCAGAATCACAGGACAATAAATAGTGCATGAACGTATTTTTGGTGACTGGCTATGATAAGACATGATGTTTTGACGTTGCTCTACTCTCTTCTGGACTAGATCTCTGGATTGAATGCTTGAGGAGTAAGTAGTCTTCCAAGAAAACTAAGAGCTTCAGTATGATGAGCACTTGGACAGTAGCCTAACAAACCCACAGACTCAATGATTTGTGTTGTTCATAAATGTTTAGGTTACACATTTTTTGAAACCATGAATCGATCAATGTTAGACCAGCATTAGAAACCTGAAAGCACTGGACGGCCGTTTCGTCCTGGTATGGGAGTCCTCAGCAGTGCACATCCACGACTCCAGCACCCCGCAGGATTCGAACCCAGGACCTTCGGTATTGTGCGCGAACGCTTTAACCGTCAGACCACTGAGCCGGCATCTAGCCGTGTTAATGTCTAACTTGATCAAATTCACGGAGTTGCGCGACCTCATACACAGTCTTTGGTAGACACTGCCTACACCCGAACAGGTTGAACTTCGTTGGTCACGTCTTCCCACTAGAACTCGGAGAAGATTCCTCACGAAGCTAGTCACTAGTGAGCACAGTTAATTTGCATTACGGGATTGTAAATATTGTTAAGTTGCACATTTTTCAAAAAGAAACGGTTAAGGCGTTCGCGCACAATACCGAAGGTCCTGGGTTCGAATCCTGCGGGGTGCAGGAGTCGTGGATGTGCACTGCTGAGGACTCCCATACCAGGACGAAACGGCCGTCCAGTGCTTTCAGGTTTCTAATGCTGGTCTAACATTGATCGATTCATGGTTTCAAAAAATGTGTAACTTAACCATCTTCACAACCCCGTAATGCAAATATTTAGGTGTTTATTTGTACCAATTATTATGTTTAAATAAATATCCCACAGTCTGTTTGCTTAGCGTTTGAAAGAATAATTTATATATATATATATATATATATATATATCGTTGCTTGGTCGATCAGTATTAGGAAACTAGACAAACATTATCATGATCATTCATTATCAACTGATTTATAAACTGTACATATATGTCAGCACTAAAGGAGGTCAGTAATAGCAGGAAACGTTCTGCTTTAGCGTTTGAAATTGTGAATTCCAATAAATTATAGATATGACCTTAGTTTATGATTCGACACTACATGAACTGTCGGGATGTTTAGTAGTAGTGACTCATAGTAATCAGCAAAAACTTAAGATGACATTATATCAGTTCTCATGTGCAAATGCTTTTAGTTTTCATTATTTCTGAGCATGTTTGTTGTTGTGGTTTATCTCAAAATAACAACAATCTAAAAGCTGCTTATTTGTTATATGAAAAATGTTTGAATGTTCATGTTGTTGTTGTTGTTGTTGTTGTTGGAGACAAGTAATGTTTTTATGAAGAAATTCATTTTGATTTGCATTTTTCTACTTCATTCATATCATCTGTGTGTGTGTGTGTGTGTGAATGTTTGTATCATAATCACACGTGCACACAGTATATGCGATTTTTTAAGTAATGGATACAAACTATATATACTGGTTGTGTGTGTGTGTATTGTATATTTCTGTGTGTATGTGTGAACAAAAATGAAAATTGATATATACGATAACAAACTGTGCAGTACTTGTAGAGACATAAACAGTTTTACATTCTTTTTCTTTTTTTTTTAATTTTACATTCCATTAGTAATAGATTTTGATTGGAATCAATGATTGGAGTATTAGTGATCTGTTGAATACAAACATTTAGTATTGTATTACTCATCGTGTTTTTTTCATTACTAACGCATTCAACTACGGACCACACTGTCATGATACCATAACGTTACCCAAACTAAGTAGATGGAACGAGGTGCGAATCCAACAATGCGTTGGCATAATCCTAGGTTTCAGTACCCTTAACCACTGCTTTACATCTCAACATAGTTCACGCGACGTTAAGTTATTCAGACTAGTTAGCACATTGCAACGTAATTGATAGAGTTTAATCAATGCGTCTGTGTTACGCTTGTCACTTAGTATGCTTGAGACTATTACGAGTTTACCTTGGTCGATCAAAGCGAACGAGACTTTTACCAGAATCCAGGTAGGCTACCTTGAATCCCCAAATAGAGTAAAAAGGTTTTGTAAGCGTAGAAAGTATATTCTACAAACACTCAGCAATCACAGTACAATCAAGCATACAACTCTCGTTTATTTATACAACATAGAAACGTCCTTGAGACAGTTAAGAAAATAGCACACTAAAATACACAGCAGCTAATCACGGCCATGGATTTTCCTGGTGGGAATTGAAATCTCAAGGTCAACTGATCAGCCCATGCTGGTAAACGTGAAAACCAAAATAAGGCATTTATGAAGCGAATTTCGGGGATCTAACGTCCCCAACAGTCTGACATACATCAATCGAGACCCTGACAGCAATACAGTAACGTGCCTTGATGTGAAGCTGTGTGACACGTAATTGAATCCTTCAGAAACAATCAGTTCTCTCTGACTATCGCTAAATAGTATGAAACCTAAATCCAGGCTCATCTATTGATTGCCTCCAACTACGTCTTTAGCTTATTACTATTTCACTGGTTCGACTTTTTTCTGGTCAGATTACAATTGTGAAGCCTACTTTGATTATATTATTTTTACAAAGGTGAAATATCAGTTGTCATAAACCAAGTTTTCTTTGCCTTAATATTTCCGCTCTGCATCATAGATTGTGTCACGTTCACGTGCTTAGGCATAATTAAAGCAACAAATCGGTCAGTATCACAAGCTGAGAATGTTTTTTTTCTGAGTTCTTCACTTCGTTGGTTTCAACCGCTTCTAACTACTCTATGGTTAGTCTTCTATTCTCAGATTATCAACTGTGAGAATAGTAATAATGTTTTTGTTCAACACTTATCAGGATATACTTATTAACATAAAACGTGTAATAGACTCTAATCATTTACTTTCTTTTATTCTTCCATTTTCTCACTGTAACAGTGTTAATCCAATACATTTTGATGCATCACTAGTGCATAGAGCTCGTTATTTCATTATTAAATCAGACTATGTGTACAATGTGCACCAGTCAATAAAATATGGTGTTTGGTGCTCAACTCGTACTGGTAATCAATGTTTAGATGAAGCATATCATTCAGTACGTGGTTCTACGGCTACAATAACACCGATGCCTGCCACTATCACTCATGTCAATAATCAAGATGGTAATGATAAGTTAATCAGTGATAATAGCAATGTTGATGAAGTTCCAGTCGCTGATAAATCGATATTAGCTGATAACAATGGAAAACTACAATCAGGTGAAGATGAGAACGTGACAGAGATGTCTACTTCTACAACAACAACTGCAACAACTACGACTACTACCACTGATAATGATAATCAATGTAAGAAATCCCATCCAACCAACTATCCTGTTCAAAGTCCAAATACTGTGAGTTTTCCTGTGTTTTTTTGTTTTTTTCATGAGTTGGTTAGTTTATCCGAAATTTGTTATTTTCGGCTGTGTACCATCTGAATAGTTGTAGTTGAAATTGGAAAAGTTACAATAAAAAAAATGTGGAATAGAAAACACACGTTTCTGTTTTATTTGAGATTAGTTAGTTGTCTGTACCTGTGCTACAGTGTTGATTTTTCGACAGAGATTTAAACCTATTACCACTTACCTATTGAGTCCAAATAGTCACTGGTTTGTGCAACGGGATAGATTTTTATATATTTGAAGCTTTTTTTTTAATTCCTTTGCTAGCCACCCACCAGTCGACTCCTTTTTCAAAAAAATTCTTGTGACTGACATGTCAGTATCGATGCAATTCACACAGGATGCAGCTATACCGAAAGGCATTGATCAACAAAGATCCCTGTTACGCCTACACGTGAACACGTCAACTTGATATGCTTGAACTATTACGATTTTACCTTAGTCAGAATACGAGAGCAAGGATCGAGGATCCGGTGATACGACATGCTACTCAATCCGATTATCCCAACCCCCATTGAATAAAAGAAGAAAACTTGATATGAATTAGAACCTGTATTCTACAAGCATCCAGAAAGTATGAGGTCCGAGTCCAGAAGAGAATCAGGATCCCAGAATAGGGATCCGGGACCGGGTCCTAGTCATAAAACGTTACAGATCATGCGTATTTATACATTTTGGTTGAATAGGAAACAGCATCGAAGTCTGTGGGACAGTGATCAGTAGGCATTAACCAATAGGAATTGACCAATTATTCTCTTAAAATATTGGATGAATATCTTAACAATCCCATTAATTAAAACAAATAAATTTTATTCATACTCCTTATTTTTAAATTTATTATATTTGATATGTGGTTATTAGCAGAAAACAAGAAACTTCTTTCGATTTATGTTGAACTTTACAACCTCGATTCATCTGCATTTCTAGTGTTGATTTTATCACCAAGATTTGAACCTAATACATTTCAATTCAAATGTTAAACGTTTAATCTACCAAACTATTAAGTTCTTTAAAAAGAATTAAACGTAATTCCCCATTACTAATATATATACAGCTGCAATTGATCAGTCTTTGTTATACTGTATATATATATATGCCAAGTGAATTACCTTGGTTTTGATATATATATATATATATATATATATATATATATATATATATATATGTATATATTATGTAGCTGTCAAGTACAAATGTTTCATACTAATATCGAGCCAGTCTACAACGAATACACATTTGACAGCAAGCAGAGTCGGATCGACTCTGGTCCGGAATATGAACATGAGATTTATAAATCTGCATTAATAACTTACACACATTTGTATTACATTTCTGAGAGCTGTAGCTTAGACTTCTCATAATTGTTTCATTTAATGTCAACAAGTAACTACTGCAAATTATCATCAATAATATTTTTGCAAATGTTTACCAGCACATAAACATGTTCTTGGTTTCATCATGAGAATTTCTGAAAAAAAATGCTGTTTGTTAATTATCGATTAAATTAGTAAACATTGTTGAATAGGAAAACAACAACCTGATGTGATTAGTTACATAATCGCATTATAATTAACTTTGCTTGACAGGTAGAGCAAAACGATCCGAGTACTTATTTATAGAATTTGAATTGCATAAAATTATTTATACCCTAAGAGGAATTGTGTAATGCGATACTGAAAACTACTGACAAGCATAGATTTTGAACTTGTGTTATTTATTGTTACTACTTTCAAAAAGTCAATCACTAATAACTTATCGCGCTGTTATTATTTAAGATGAAAAACAACCCATAGTATATTCTTTACTACCAGAATAGCAAGTATATTTACCCCTAGTGGCTAAATGAATCACGTGCCATGAATAATAATACTATCTACTATTTCACACATATCTTTTAAGACTCACTCACCTTACAGAAGCTAATAATGATAAGTCTCTTATATAGAATTGATGGACCGGAGTTTTTAACAGCCGGAATCCAGTAAGCCTGTGTTCCATCCTACTTAGAACTTGTCACTTGGATGTATTTGTATCTAAACCCCACACCTTACAATATTTCGTTCTATTCATTCACATAGCAAGGTGGTTACTTGAACAAATTCCTTTTTAAATATGTGAGATCTAGTTGTAGTGAAGGAGAACACAGGTGAGGGCAACCGAATTGTATTTAACGAAAATTACAGTTACTCAGTAAAATAGGAAAACCATATCGTAAACGGTTAATTTGCAAATCTTCAATCCATCATCAATTCATTGTCTGACATTTCACTATTCATGCATTTCATACAAATTTCATTGTGTTCCCACTCTTCCTTTTTTGATCTTCCCCCATCTTCTGCTGCCAGACATAACGTTGACACTCACGTCATATACTACTTATAAGTAGCGCACACCACATAGTGATTTCATTGTGTCAGTCAATGGTTTTTTTTCCAATAGTCGATATTACTTCATTCATAACGTTGATTGATATCTAATTTCAAAATAATATTTATCAATTTGTCTCCTTTTGTATAATTATTACATGCAAGTTATTAAAAGACAGTCATCTGTCAGTAATTTTTCAAATAAGATTTCTTGTGTTAGGTACAATTTATCGAATTCTATGAAAAAAACTACAGTAGATGATTATATCTGTAATTGAAATACAGTCATAATCTATAGAGATGTGTTGGAGAGGTTAGATCCCCAGAACTCGCTTGATCAATATCTTTATTTTGCATTTATTTCATGCGACCGATCAGTTGTTCTTGAGATCACATTTCCCACCAGAAAAATCCTTGGCTGTGATTGGTTATTGTGTCATTTTAGTATGTTATTTTTGTGACTATGGAGTATAAATAAACGCCATTTGAGTGCTTGGATTCATTGTGGGCTGACTTGGTGTTTATCGAATACACTTTCTACGCTATATCAAGACTTCTTACTGATTCAATTAGGTCAAGGGTTCACAGTAGCCTACCTGGACGCTGGTTCATTGTTTTATTCTCGTTATTCGACTAAGGTGAACTCGTAAACGTTGTAAGCATACCTAGAGACGAGCATAACAAGATGTTCTATCAGTTTAATTATTCATGGTTTGTATTATCCTTTTGTGTTGATATTTTCCATAGACAATTCCCCAACAGGAAGAGATAAGCGTCCATTTGTTCTAATATAAAATATGGTTGTTATGCCTTTTTACTGACCTCTTTGTCAATCAATCATACATATAAAGTGGATGTTGTTTTGGATTTGATTTAAAAAAAAATTATTGCGCATTACACGTCTCAATTTTCCTGAATTACTACTGCCTTATGTCACTAGTTGCAATAATTGATGACGAAAGCTTTTGTTGTAACGCTGCTACGTATAGCTCTTCAGTCCTAACGGCGTCCAATTCAAATATCCCAATACGACCCAAAATGCTATTTCCAAATCTCCTAGATATCAGAACGCAACAACGTAGAAGGGAGTTGTTCATTGGGTCGAATACAGAAGAAGAGGTAGGCAGGGGAAACGAATTATTCACTCTTTCAGATAGTGTGTATTTATACACTAAGGTCAACGTCTGTGACATTGACAATTTAGGACGACCAATAGAAAAGAACATTTGAATGACATTGACAGTCCAGATGACCAATAAGAGGCAACATTGAAGTATTTGACCTTGACGGTAAGAACGATCATAATTTCGGCCAATAGAAATCGACCAATAGGATTGTTCTTCTAAAAATAGTATTCTTAGGATATTGGGTGAATATCCTAACAGTTTTTTTATTTTAATGTTTAACTTAATGCTAAATTTGATGTTCAAACCATGTTTTAATTGAAACTTTTAATGACATGATGATTAGAAAGACCTTAAATTATTCTGTTTCATGCTGAATTTTCAGTCGATTATCCAAATATGTTTTCCCAATATCTCACAAGCCTCTTTGTTGCAATAGATGACTCGTTGATAATAGTATAATCCGTGGGAACATGCATTTTGTCCTTCTGAGGACTCATCAGCTGGTTTTATGTACATATCAGTGTCTAGTATACTCCGCTGTTCACTAAATTCAGCTAAATCCTGTCATTGAAATCAACTACTTTCCAAAAAAAATTACCTTCTTAAGTGATGGTTGTATTATTTTTTTCTCTTCAGAGCTTTCATTTTGATATTACTTTTGTTTAATGCTTTTTTTTTGATACTAGTTATCTGATGATGGTACAACTGCACCTGTCTTGTCTGTTTGTTCTACCACGTGTACTACTACTACTACTGCCACTACTACTACTACTACTACTACAAATGAAATCAATAACAATGAAAAATTCGATACAACAAACGTTACAACAATGAAAACCAATGTACATGATCCATGTAAATCAGTAACAACTACCACTTCAACAATTTCGACAGAAAATAATAATGATCAAAACATGACTAAATCAAAAAGAACTCCAACATCTACATTGAATTACAATGTAAACTCTTCTGCTGGACATATTATTCTATTTTTTTCTGTACGAGAATCTGGATATCTTACTGGAGTTGCTGAAATGATCAGTCCGGTTAATTCACAAAAACGTTCAACAATATGGCAAGATTTACGATTTCGAGGAGAATTCGCTGTCAAATGGTTGTATATTAAAGTTAGTTATGTGTTAATTACTTTTTTTTCTTGATATGAAAACCAATCCCGTGTATATTGTAATCTTTACAGTCGTTAGATTTCATCCAATCACTTGTTATCTATTTGTTTGTAAATAACTCTGTTATGTGAACTAATTATGAGTGGCAGAAATTCCTGTTCTAGACTTGTGGTGAAGAAGAACACAGGTGGGGCAACCGAATTGTATTTAACGAAAATTACAGAGTTACTCAGTAAAATCGGAAAACCATATCGTAAATCGTTAATTTGCAAAATATCAATCCATCATATCGAACTGGACTGTTCCTGTTGCAAAACATCAATCCATTGTCTGACATTTCACGGTTCATGCGTTTCATACAAATTCCATTGTTTTCTAACTCTTTCTTTCTTGATCTTCCCCCATTTTCGGCTGCCAGACATTACGTTGACACTCACGTCATATACTACTTATAAGTAGCTCGCACCACAGACTGGTAAATCAGCATAGTTTCGGTTAGTAGGTTATTAGAATGAAAAGTTCAATTATGTGTATGCATCAATGTATTTTCAAGTTTTTCAATCATTCCATTAAGATAGAAATTTACTCTATACAGAATTATAGTATACAGTTATAAATGCACACTAATAAACGCCTTAGATCTTCTTTTGTTCTGGGGTTGAAGAATCCCTGAATACAATTTAGGTGGAATAAAATCGATACTCTTGTCACATTAATTTCGTCAATTAGAAATCTGTTCATGGAATTCTCGGCAAAATTTATGTTCTTCAACTGTTACTTCATTCTTAAATGATATTTAACTAGTTATCTTGACTGATTTTAGGATTCTGCTAGATTTTGATGAATAAAGTTTCTATACATTATTCACTACTAATACCCTGCTACGGGCAAAAGTGAAGAGTCCACTTTCCCTCTTCAAATGCTCCCAAATGGCTATGTATATGTAGTCACTGACAGGGATGTCCTGCTCAGTACCTTTTCATGAGGAGAGTGTTGTTTACACAATTAAGAGGACGAAAAACGGATATCCGGCGAGGGCTTAAACAGGGTTGGTGCGCATGAAGGATCCACCTAAGAAAGTTGGCAGCTGCTTGTTCCAAACCAATGATTCATATGAACAGTAAATAGCGTTTGAACGTTTTGTTGGTGACTGGCTACGATGAGACTGGATATTTTGCCGTCGCTCTATTGTTTTTTGGATTGGAATTCTAGATCAAATGCTCGTAGAGTAGTCTTCCAAGAAAACTACGAGTTTTTCAGTATGATGAGCACTCGGACAGTTGCCTAACCGATCCACAGATTCAATGATTTGTGTTGCTCATAAATGTTTAAGTGCCTATTTGTACTGATAATTATGTGTTTGTGTAAATAAAAATTAGTTTCTATTAAATGGTTGTACTTCTTATCCTAGTTATCTATACAAGGAGTTACAGGATAGCAGTAGTCTTGTTCAGCGTATTCGTTTTGTAATTGCGAATTAATAGTCGAACGCACGTTTCGGTACCAATGGTGTTTCTGATATATACAATTAAATCATAAATATTTCTATATTTGCTGACGAGAAATCACACAATTAAATATGCAGTCACTGTTTTATGGGATCTAAATAAACAAATTGAAATTTTTATCGCTTAATTTGCATCCTCAGAATATTGTTATATCAGTGTTTCGTGACTGCTTTGCTTTGTGTATACATCGTAAAAGTTACTAGGCAGGTCGGTAGACTTGATGTTATAGATCAATCAATACTTCAAACCTCCTTAGGTGCTTGTCTAACCTGCCAGTACATATCAGTTACGCATGCCGTTACGGAAATGCTGACGGATGTCACTCTCTGTTTACCTGCACTGTGGAAGGGAGATTATTTAGGAACCTGAAAAGGAAACCGGGTTAGCGTTGGTCTTTGCAACCTGGGAGCTTGATCCTAGAACTCAAGGGATAACTGTTTGCGGTCGGTTGCTCACAGCCTTTCTTATGGGAATGTTTTAACATGTTAGTTCCGCTCATTAGAAGCCTTACCGCCAGAGACAGAAGTCCATTGGGTAAGGTGAGGTGTGACATTTTTACGACTGACGCTTTCTAACCCTATCCTTCTGTCATGAGAAGGTAGCATCTCTGCAGATGCTAGTTGTCCGAGAGAATCACCTTATTGATGTCACACCTCTCCACAGTCAGCAGTGCGAGTTTGCCTCAGACCTTGAGTTGCTGCTTCAAGTCTTAGCATTCTCCAATCAACCTACTTGGCTTGGTAGGACCTGAAGGAACAGATATTCCAGTCATCACAATAGGCGATCCTAACCACCACTTCAAGAGAGCAGCCAGGGTCGGGATATATATATATATACCGCACATAGGCGGATTCTGTATTATCCCAGATATCATCGTCAATAGTTATTGGTTACATATAACCCTGTGATTATAAAATAAGCAAATAGTAAGGTACAATGTGTCAATACTACTGTTTTTTTATTCACATCTAGTTGGTTATACGACATTTGGAAAAACAATTATCATCTTTCTCAAATGATTGTTTTCAAAGTTCAAAGCAGTCCTTTGGTGGTTAAGGTGTTTGAATTTCAGTCATTAAATTACATATTCTAACCCCACACCATAAAACTACATTTTTGGCAGTCAGATACTACTGTTAGTCCCTCTCAGTTTAATCAATACTCAAAAGTGTATATCAGTAATCTGTACTCGTTTGATAGTTACTTATAATGTGGACAGTTTATGCGATTTCAAAACATTATTTTCCTAGTTCAGTAGGTTTCAGGTTCCATTCCAGCTGTCATTTATATAGTTGAAATGTAAACTACTACTATAATTAAATAATGTAACTATTCAGTTGAGGAAACCATCATCTCTGATATGCAGCAGACACATAAATGGATTATACAGTCAGTGTTTTTAATTGTTTAAGCCCATTATCTATTGATATGACTAAGTGATTTCAACTACTCACCGTTGGCATTGTAAATACCCTAGGTTCAGTTAGTAGTCAAATTATTAGCACACTCTATAGAAGTGTCTTAAACTAAGGCAAACTATTTGTTTGCAAGTGTTTGTTTTTCATTGACTTTCTAACTACGGTTGATCGATCAATGAAGAAAATTTTCCGAAAATTACGCCAAATATTTTTGATAGGTATATCATGTGACTGGCAGTGGAATTCAGCCTACACTTTTCAAATTATTGTGAACTTATCACTCAGATATTCTTTCCTTTGACTGGAACCTACAAATTTTCTGTTCGAACTTCAGCACATTATCCCATTGTAGTGAACGAGAACACAGGTGGGGCAACCGGATTGATTAAACTAAAATTACAGAGTTACTCAGTAAAATAGGAAAACCATATCGTAAATCGTTAATTTGCAAAATATCAGTTCATCATATCGAACTGGACTGTTCCTGTTGCAAAACATCAATCGATTGTCACTATTCATGTGTTTCATAGAAATTCCGTTCTTTTCTAACTCTTCCTTTCTTGATCTTCCCCCATCTTCTGCTGCTAGACATTACGTTGACACACGTCAAATACTACTTATAAGTAGCTCACACCACACCACAAGTAACTAAATTCAAATAGTCACGGACTTTTTTTTAGCAACAAGTTTTAAATAAACTAAATCACTCCCACGTATCCCGACTACTATCTGTCGTCATATTAAATACACTTGAAAATCATCACCTAAAGCTTATGACAATACTATTATCCCCTTGAAAAGTGCATATCGCAAACTTACACTGATCACTTTCAATATCTGAATATCAACATAGATAAATTATTAAATACTATTTAGATACATATCGATTTGTTTTTTTTTTATCCTAATCAAATTGTTCATATTTCATTACTTTGTTTTTACTTGATCTCTTCTCTTTATCTCCTAAACAATTTCATCAATATATAAATAGCAAATTCCAAATCATGCTATTAAACATATCTTAGTTGAATGTTATGATAATCGTCCAGTGACAGTATTACGTGATACCAGTGAAATTTTACCACCGTCTAAAGGTGAAGAACTATTACGTATTGTACATGATTATGGCTTATCCACAGCATCGTCATCATCATCAACATCATCAACAACAACAACAGTACCAATTATGTCGTCATCATCCATGTCAACAACATCATCATCTTATTATTCCATTGGAGGTGGTATGAAATCATCTTACAAGAAAACTAATAACAACTATGACAAATTATCTATGACTAAATCCAATTCATCGGATTCCAATGAATTAAAAAATAATCATCACAAAATGATTCATACTACTAATACTAGTAGTAGTTTCACTAGTTCATCATCATCATCTACTATCATGAGTAATAATAATAATAATAATAATAATAATAATAATAATAATAATAATAATAATAGCTCTTCAGTAAGTGTATGTTCATCGATTGCTGAGAATAATAATTCAAATCAACGCTTGAAAAATTCTCCGTCTACAATTGTATAAATGATCATTGGATTCTTTTGTCATTGACTTTCGTACATTTTTTTGTTTAATTTCGGTGATACATATATATATACATATACATCTGTATATCATCTGTATACATGGTTTTCTTTTTTACTACAACAAACTATAATTCAATTAGGCAATTTTTTTTCAAAAAAATACATCATCTGTATCATTTAGTTTTCAACACATAAAACACAACAAGTCTATTCATCATTTCATTGGAATAAAATAATTAACTTTAATTATTATGATTATGATTATTATGATTATTATTGAAGAAAATGATTTCATAGATTTGGTAAGTGAAATGGTATGCGTTTTTCGTTTTCGTTAAATTTTATAAATGTATATTTCATTCAATAGTATTAATGTATTATTATGTTTTCGGATAAACAGATCTGTTAAGTCGTTGAAGCATACATCCATCTGTAAAGTTGCACGCATTCTTGACTGAAGCAATATGTCCACTGCTTTCTAGTCACCGGAGTGGTTGTCTAATTGATGTCAGTCTGTGATATTAACTTACTTACTTACTTACTTACTTACTTACACCTGTTACCCCTGATGGGGTATAGGGCCGATAACCAGCATTCTGCAACCTACTGTGTCTTGAACATTCCTTTACAGTTCTACTCATTTTACTGCTCATTCTTTTCATGTGTGCTTCTGATTCTTGGCACAGTGTATTCCTTGGTCTTCCTTCCTCTTGTCCTTTAGTCTTGACGGTTCTAAGCGATGATATATATACTACCTCCACCACTTTTATCTGATTTCTTGCTTAGCTAACATCTAGTTTGTTCTCTCCTACAGTAGGTTGTTGCTGTTGGTGTCTGGTCTTACGTATACAACTGTTAACAAAACACTTATATCTTGTGGATGATGGATTTCGTAATTCTCTATGTTTCCAAATCATACAGTAGAACTGTCTTAACATTCGCATTGCAAATTTTGATGTTCTTCAAGTGTAGAAATGTTGCTCTTGTTTTGCTAATCTGCATCAAGTCCACCTTGTTAATCAATGATCCGTCAAGTGTCATTTTCTTGGTTTATGATGTCGTATCTAAGGGTCTTGCTTTTTCCGTTGTGTGTGTTGAAGCCTATTACTGCAGACGTTGCTGCTACAATGACCCTCATCCTCTGCATTTTTTTGTGTGTAAGATAGAAAAGTTATGTCGCCTGCGTCTTTGTATGTCCTATGAATCATGTTTTGTTTTTAATGGTGCTACACGTGAAGTAGAAGCTAATGATGCCGCGTAGAACTACGACGGAACCTATGGATTTAAACCATCTGGCTCAGAGAATAGAACACCATCAAAAACATACACTTGAATTGCGAATTTCTTTCTTTAATTTGTCACCTAATGTATCATGAATATTCCTTGAAGAGCGGAGCTAACACTTCAACAACTTCCTATAAAAAGGCCGTGCGTGATCAGCATCAAGCAGTTGCCCCTCGGGCTCTGCGGTCGCGCTCCAAATTCTCTAAGGTTAACACTAACCAAACTTGTTTTTCAGGTTCCTCAGGAATCAATCTTCCATGGTATGGACAACCAAGAAGTAACATTCACACTCCTACAGCACACGAGATAAAAACGGGTCACAATTGACTCCTTCTTTCACGCCATAACAACTCTCTTATCTCCTTTACTAACCCCTCTCACATTCCTTTATCACCCTGTACATCTAATGCAATCGATTCCAGTACACAAAACGTTATTCAGCGATATTTTGAGGTATAGGAGCAGGTTGGAAGAAAGCTAGGGGCTGTCAAACCAAAACACGACACAAATCCATGAAATCACTGACAACTGGACTGAGCCATGTTGGTAAGTGTAGACTACCTGGTTGAGGTCCTCAAGAGAATAGTAACCGATAGTTAGAGACGTTGGACGTTATGGCTCAAAATCGTTTGTAATGTCGCAGGTGCAATCCACTCTTTGTGTTCTGTCAAATCCTAACCTTCTGATTTCCTCATCACCTTAATCTTTCTCTTTCCAAATTTATTTCACTAGATTATACTTCTTGAATAACTACTTCGAACCCTTATCTTCTCTATTACTGCTAATAATTCTACTATCTGTGTCAATGTGGTATGGCAGCCTGAACTTATGTACGTACGAAGTGCTGCGTTGTAACTGACTTACTGATTTTCTTTAACAGATGTTTCTAGACGACAACTGATCATATACACATAGAAATATTTTATTTTATGATGTCTAATAATCCTGCATGTTCGTAAACACCGACATCGGGTAAATGTAAACCACCAAGCTTATCATCAAATGTAATAAAGATTCCACTTTATCAGTCCGTCAGTTATAATTAACATAAACTGTGACATAAATGCGCGTTGATTCTAGTTGTTATACTACATTCTCACGACAAGATGAGATAAATAACGAAGGAATCTAAACAACCCATCAGTAATAACAATGGCTAATGATCTAATGATTTTACTCTTCTTTACTAGCAGCGTAGTATTTACTACTCAGTCTCAATAACCAAAGTTGGTGATTTAATTATCTAACTCAAACATAACTATCAGCACAAGTAGGTACCAAAATATATATACGTGCCAAACAATGAAAATAAGTGATAGAGACAAAATGATGCGTATCACTAAAAAAGATGAATAGAGCTTAGTCTACGGCAGTGAAATAATGGTAATAATAATGGGAGGAACAATACGGTTAGGAAAATACAGCCGGAAAGAATTCTTTCAGATATTTCTGTGTGGAAAACAGAGGAAATCTACATCAGAGTTGCCAATGACCTCTATTCTGACCCATATCTGAGTTGAACTGTTTCTCAGACCGACAGATGCTAGTCCTATACAGCTTCTTTTCATGCCGCTACACCAATTCATCATACACTGACCACCTCTCCTCCTTTTCTAACATGTCCAAGCATCGGTAAATAATACGCAATGCAGAATTCACTGAGATGGCAATCGTAGTACACATCCAAGCCACCGAAGTCAGTGTTTCATGATCGTGAATTATCGCTGCTATGCTAGAACACACTCTCTTCATTACTAACATTGTATTGCTACTGAATGTTAGTAATCCTTTGGAGACGACGATGATCGAACACAGAAAACTTTTCAGTCTGTTCAATTCGGAGAGACTAGGTTTCACAAACACAGAACGAAACCGCTCTCACTGACACATTTTCGACCTGACCTTTTACAGTCAGATGAACATCATGTAGATGCCAAAGATGGCCCAGGTTGGCTTTGACTATACATGAATCATTCTCATCATTCGATGCACCACCAGCACTTATTCTGGTACATGTAGTTTTCGAGTACTGCATAGGCATCTGACCTATACATTCAGGTCTTCGGCAAGTACTACTATATCTGTCGAATGCACTCTGTAGAAATCATGTAATTGATGTTAGGACTCATCCTTGCTTGTATCGATGCTGAAATCTGTATTATTTCTCGCAACGATTTCTCCCCACTTTGATGGAGCTTTCTACAGTAAAAGCTCATGGATCCGGTTGATTAGTTCTACCTCGGCTCAAGCACTGTGTGACACTGATGCCAGCAAGACCCGACAAAGACATCATAGGGTCGCTGAATGAATGCACCCGAAAAAAGCTCTTCAATGCATCTGATAGATAGCGTAATTGGCGTTTTAAATACGAAACTGCAATCGAAAACATAAATCGATATCAAGACTTACTGAAGACACAGCCAACACTATTTGTTGTCAGACCTGCATTAGTGTGCAGACGTTGAAGGAGGCCAGTTTGAATGGTATACGTGGCTTCAGAAGGGCGGTTATGGGATTTATATTCTATGGTAGCACTCAGATTTTGACCAATCAGATACGTGAGGCCTTTTAGATAGGACAAGGTTTCCACTGTAGGCCAACTGCTTCATGATTTGAAGGGCAGCATAGAAAAAAAAATATAAACAAATTACGCGATGTGATATAAAAATGAGTGTTATCAGAATGATTGTGAGTACGATGTATGGGAGTGAGATTTAAAGCCAGCATAAGATTTTCAATTTGTCGTCATTTAGCTTGTGTGCGTTCTATGATGCTGCCTGTGTAGGCTAAGTCAAAGCTCGTTGTTTTCTTAGAAGATCGCTCCCTGAGAATTAGATCTAGAGGTTTAATCCAAAAGACAATGGAGTAACGTCAAAACATCCTGTCTTATCATAGCCGTTCACCAACAATATGTTCATACGCTAATTACTGTCCCGCGATTCTGCAGTCTGTGTGAAATATTGGTTTAAAATGAAGATTTGCCAACTCTCTTAGGTGGATCCTTTGTACTCACCTACTCTTTTTAAGCCCTAACCGGACATTCATTTCTCGTCTTCCCAGTTACATAAACAACACCGCTACCACCAGAAGGCAGTGAGTAGGGCTTCCTTGTCAGTGGCTGTATACGCGTGGCCGTGTGGAGCATTCCGAGAGGGAGAGTGAACTCTACTGACAACCGTACGGTTCGTTTAGCTGTTATTTTGTTTGCTATTCTTCTTCTCGCTTGCTTCTGTTGCTCAAAGACATCAAATACTTTTTACATGAAACCTTTCGAATAATTCTTTTTGTCTTAGTGATACTACGTTTTGAAGTACGAATCATTGTAACTGGTGGCTTTATTTTAAAACTGACATTTATCAGAATGTACAACAGTAAGACGTAAATTAATCAGGTCGGCATCATATTTAGTTCAGATCATTTTATGATTACTAGATAGATAATTACTACACTTCCAACAAATCGCGTGAACAGAGTTTCCCTTGATAACTTTGAAGTAAAGCTGTTTCGTAGTAGTTTGGAATCTCATCAGTAGTAATCATTCAGAATCCTATCGGGCATATAATCTCAGTACGTTCAAGCTTGGCAGTGATCAAGTTACTGAGTCAGTCAGTATCTGATAGTTCACATTCCTTAATTTCGTCATTCTATGGTAGATTTTACACGATCAGTATCTGTTTGCATCGATGATACCTATCTCATTATTGGTTTGTCTAA